CAGACTGTCTTTTTGTATGATGTATGAGCTGTGTGATTCCGGCTTTACAATTCGAGTTCCGTCCGGAAAGGCGAACAGACCGAAAATGGCGCGCGCGTGCGGTTCAGGCCTTTGCTACTCCGCGAGGCTTCTGGGCTCGGCGGTGAAGCCCCCGGCTTCTTGTCGTCAGTGCGCTAATCGTTTGCGATAGCTCCAAAAGTGTATTCCTCTCCCGAGTAAGTGAGTCATTTGTTCGGTGTGAATTTATACAGGTGGAAGTTATACCCCTGTTGTTTTACGCGCACGTTAAGGTCATTGAGAAGAACGAACTTCCTCTTAGAATTCGAAGAACCAGAGCACGGCGATGGGCACGCGCAGAACCGAGATCGAGACCCGATTCGTCAATTCAGATAGCGATTTGAATCGCCGTAAAGCAGAGCTGTAAGTCTACCTTTATGAGGCGTTTCATACCTTCGCGGTAGTTCAGAAATAAAGTCAGTGCAGTACGACTGCTAGGCTGGGGTCTTTAACGTGCATGCCGCTGGTCTGCCACACACTCGCACGCCGGTAAGATGGTTGTCCAGATCCAAGCGGGCTGGGGCGGGGATTGAACCCAGGATTCCTGGGTTTTGAAGTGAAATTTCCCGTCTTCACGTGCTTGAAGCTGCCATTCGAATAATATTGCGCGGAAAAAGCCCGGGGATATTTTACTGGGAAAACAACCATTCCTAGAGCGAATTTTTTAACGATTTATTTTTTGCTTTAATTTATATTAAAAAAACATACAAACCATCATAAAGATGGTCGCACTTATCCAAGTCTGCAGTGAAAGTTGCAACCTCGTACGGTATGTCCGGAATCCGCTGCGAGTAATCTGACCTTGCGTTTGGAAATTCCAGCTATTTTACCCGAGAAAACATTCGTTGAAACGTGCGCTCTCCAAGAGTCTTTCAGAATTAAAGCAGAAAAATTACATAATTTCCTTCTGGGTACAAATTCTTCTCACGTTAAAACTGTGTTCGTGCCCGCCACCACACCCTGAAAAGAAAAAAAAAAAGAAAAAAATGGAGAAGAAAAAAAAAGAAGAATATCCCTTAAATATTATTTATGTTTCTAAGGCTCTGGAAGGGTCATAGCGATGTTCACCGCGTTAATGCGGGCCGGTAATCGTGAAGCAACCGGAGTAGCGAGGAATTTAAAAAAAAAAAAACCAAATAGACGCTTTCCAGACTTTATCAAACAACACTGACGGTTTCCATTTCTTGGCTAGGGGGCGCGAGCTACCGCCTGTTACGAAGGGTATATTCATTAACATCCATTCATCCATTCATTGGGCGCCAAGCGTGTGATAGGATCCGATTCCTCGCCGAGCGCTGACGAACTGCTCGTTCTCGTATACGAGCTGAGCCGAGTTCACGCCGAATGCTGCCGCAGGCCTCGTGTCCAATGGGTGCTCAGAGCGCGTGCCCGAACCGTGGCAGACTGCGACAAAGACGACGAGCGCCGTGACGATGCGCTTTTGGCACAGCCTGATTGGCTCCGTCAGATCGTAGCATCGGCTTAGGTTGGACTCGGAGTGAAGCGGAGTATTTCATTTAAGGAGAGTCAGTCGGGCACTTCCTGCAGTCGTCATATCGTGCACTCCGATCGGCGTGATCGTTCGACGCACGCTACAAAATAGTGTTTTTTTACTTCAGCCGCACACTCGTTTCTAACGTTTTCCCGCGGGTTCCAAAACTCGGCAGATATTATACATCTCGGCCAAGGATCCGGTTTCGTTTCAGGAAAACTCGGCGCCGCTAATACTTCATTACTGCGGAACCTCTATCGACGACGCTAAACTTTATTCGTATCTTGGGGTCGGTTTGCGAATCGTTCCTAATTTATCGCGCGATAATATTCAAATTTGTTCTTTTTTTTTCCCCAGGAAGCGCGCACTTCCTGAATCTATAGTGTACTCGCTGTTCGAGGCACGGCGAAAATCGCTGGCCGTTTCCGGTCTCGGCAACTCTATTTCCGGCGGAGATGCTATCCTCCGCGCGAGTTGGCTGCCGAAGCGTTCTGGGTCGAAGGTAGACCCGCGTGCGTGGTGCTGGAGGCGGCAGGTCGCGATTGCAAATGCCTCCCTACGGGCGACTCGACGGGCGCAATGGGACATCGCTAGAGGCCGGAATTAGGCACCGCGGTATCTCGTCGAATGAGAGCAAGAAAGCCCAAACGGTCGCACATTGGGTTTGAAGAATGAAATGGGGTAATCAGGTGGGAATATGTTAGTAAGAAGCCGGTGTAACTGTTATGTTGTTTTTTTTTTTATCCAAAGCCTGTTTTAAAAATAAAAAAAGGGGGGGGGGGGGGGGTTACCTGTATCTCGAGTCGAGCTTCCGGCCCTAAAAAGAAAATAATTCACGCATCGCGAGCAAACTAGAAATTAAAAAAAAGAAGGGCGTGCATGTTTTGACAAAAATGAAAGGGGGAAAGGGGGGGGGGGACACCAGAATAAAACGCTTTGCAGTTTCACTTATTCTTTTTTTTTTCGACACTTTTCTTCATAAGTTATCTATTTCGAATAGTTCACCATTTTGTTTTATTGAAAAATAATTTTTTGGTGAGTGCAGAATTTAATTTTGGTCAATATGCTCTAACCCAGATTCCTTATTTCTTGCAGAATGATCTGATTTCAGGTCTTTCGTGTTGCGTCTTTAAGTGGTCCTTTTATGTTCGTAATTGTAATAAATTTCTCTTAACGACCAATTAAAAAAAAAATAATAATAACACGTACCTTAAACATTACGGGAAGCAAACATCTCCAAAAGTTTTGTGATAATTGTAGTTTTCTTATCTTCGAAAAATTATGAAATTATTGACCAACTAATAGTTAATAGTGCCTTTATTGAGTCATGAGTATTAATAATATTTGAAACAGGAATATGCTGAAGTTTTCATCAGGTGTACTTTTTTTTTTTTTTTTGCCTTACGTCAAGAGTTATTTTGTCCCCTTGTGCTTCCCTGTGTGTGTTCAATACAGTCATCCGCTTGAATTGGCAAAGCGTATCGGCTACAGCACGTGCTTTGCGATTTTTGTCACGGCAGCAATTGGCCGAGACTCCCAACCCGATTCTTCGCCGACGGATTGGTGGCTACAGAGGTCAAGCCCACTGGCGACGCAGTGCTTACGCCGTGTTTGACCGGGATTCTCGGAATCGCCAGAAAGCTTTGCGAAACAGAGACATCAACCGCACAGCGAAAATTACCTTTCTGGTTCTCACTCGCACGCGCTAGTTTTCATCTGCCCCCGAAAGCAATGTGTATATCGAGCAGCATTCGAATCTTCGTAGTCCTTTTAATTTAAGATGAGAGTCACTCCGGGCGCCTGTCGGCTCATCTGCTGCATTGTGTGCAGCAGATAATTGTAACCTACTGATAACTTTAGTTTGAAATTGACTTTTTGCTGGGGCATTACGCAATGTACTATTCGTGTATCCCTGGCGTCGTGCGCGTTACCGGCACGATATGCCCAATCGACTAAAAGCAATCAAGTAGAGTCATGGTTCCATTTAAAGCGTTAATTTTATTTCTCGCTGGTTTTTTCTCTCTTTTCTTTTCGTAATATAAAAAAGAAAAATTTTTGGTGTGTGTGTGTGTTTTTGTTTTTTAGCAGAAGCTCCTTGCCGCCTGATGGAAAAACCTTACCTCGGTCGCATGCATGATCATGAATGACTAACAGCTGAGATTCTTTCAGAATGCCGAAGTCTAAAGTAAATGATTTTTTTTTTCGAGCGTGACAAACATGATTTGCTTGACAAACATGATCGAGATTACATATCGCTGTCGACGCTTTATCGCGCCTGTCACCAACCGTCCATAAGCCAACGTGTTTGTCGACAGCGCAGTGATAATGAAGCGCAGCAGCAGGCTATTAACAAAGCTATCTTTTCTTGTTTGCGAGTTCAGTTCATTGAGTTTTTGTTCAGTCGGACTCAGTCACGAGAACTTGGAAAAACGCCAGTTAGGTATACACCAAGTCAAAACAGATTTGGTCAAGCCAAAAAAAAAAAAAAAAAAAAATAGCGGCTCAAGATGTAGGCGGACGGCGACCGAAACCATGGTCAACTTCTGCTCATTGTTTTGATTATGCGTAGGGGTGTGCGAAAACAGCTTCGACTTGAATAGTGCAGTGCAATCGCTAGCTCAAACACTTCAGCCTCCGAAGTGTGCACGGACCTCCTTAAATGCACTACCGGTTGTCGTGTTTTCTCGTTCCTGCCACCTTGGCATAACTGATGATATTTCCTGTACGAAAGACGTCTGATGAAATTGCTATTTTTGTTTGTTAACTCGGTGTAGTTTGTTTTAAAAAGATGAGTCCCGGCTTCTGGAACATTTTTGCACCGCAAAGAGAAACGGCATGGAGTGTTTCTTCCTTGCACTGTGAATGCTATAGATAATGCGGCGCTATTTCATTCGAGCCACTATTTGATGTTATATATAATATCTTAGGGGCAGTCCCCAAGGTGGAAAATATGTATTCTAGAATAATTTTACTTTCTCCTAAAATGGAGCGCAACTCACTCCATTCAGGCGACTGGAGGCCTCTGAATTAACCCTCCTGGTTCAAGAGTTTTTGGTACTCTAGTAGAACAAACATCCGCTCGCTCTCCGGACCGGATAGAAGCGCCGAAGGACAGGAACAAAGTGAAGAAGGTAACGACAACACAGCGCTTTGTGTTGTAGTTACCTTCTTCGCTTTGTCCCGGTCCTTCGGCGCTTCTATCCAATCGTGAACCAACGAGGTCAACTGAACATTTCGTTGCCTTACCGACGGCTTGCTCCTGGTTATCTCAGTTGGCAGAGCGTTCCACTAGTCTTGGAGAGGTCCCGGAATCGAATCCTGAACCTTTTCAGTTGCACCCAGTCACCTAGAGGGCGCGAGTGGCGCTCCACTTTAGATGGAAGTCAATCTATTCTTTACTCAGCGAAGTCGATACCGGTTCTCTGAATATTGCCCTCGTGTGTCGTTGCAGGTGTCCCTGTGGGCAGCCTCGCTGTCCGGGGCCCAGGCACCGACGAACGGCGCCGCGGGAGGCCCCCTCTGGTTCGGCTACACGGTGCGCACGGGCAACGCGGACGTGCGCTTCGACGACATCGCCAACCTGGCCCCCAACAACGGCCGCAGCACCCGCTACAGTACCGCCATCACGCACGGCAACGCCCTGTCCCGCGTCGAGGTCGCACTCGGCACTGCGCAAGGCGGAGCCGGCTACTACGAGAGTGCTGCGGCTGCAGCTGCTGCCTCGTCACCAGGCGCCGGCGGAACGCACGGCTTCCCGTACGGAACCGTCGTGTACCCCGGTTCCCAGGGTGTCCTGGTCGGGATCCCTCGACGCCAGTTGACGCTCGGCCGTGCTGGGCTCTTGGAGGCTCAGGGTCCTCCCTTCCGGTTCGTCGGACAAGTGGATCACTCCGTGGGCGACGGCGAAGACTTCCTGTCCAGACCCGACGCTCAACTTCCAGCGCAAGTACTGCGACGGCGGGTGTTCCGCCGCCGCTTTCGTGGACGACGAGTGTTCCCCGGCGGCGACCCGCAAGCATCCGGTGCTTCGTTCGATGAGGGAGGCCAAACCGTCCAGCCCGTTCCGGTTGCCGTCTTGCCCGAAGGGCCGGAGCCCGCCGCCGGGACTATTTCTGTGCCAGAGTCGGGCGTTGTGCCGTCTGTCAGCAAGCCCAGTGGCCCGCCTGCACAGCCAACGGAACTGAAGGCAGGAACGCAAATCGCTCCGGCTAAAGCCCCTGCCCCGAGAGACGTCGAAGAACCCGGAGAAGACGTCGAAGACGACGACTCTGACTACGCTCAGTCGACGCCGTCGCCAGCAGTGCTCGAACAGTCCACAAACCCTGAATCTAACGGAAGGAAGACGACTACGACACCATTGGCCGTCGTCTCTTCCGCCCTGGACACGTCGCAAAGCCAAGACACCAGTTCAGTGGTCAAGAACCACGTTCAGACCCCTCTCGTGCTCCGCGCGGGCAGGGGTCAGTATGATTTTCGAGGCTACGCTGAAAACAACCGACACCCCCAGGGCACCGTCGACGGAGGCGACCCCCACGATTGGACCACCAGCAGGAAGTTTCGGCACAACTTTCGAGTTTCCTAGCGGTGGGTCTGCAGCGCAGGAATCCTACCCTCCACTGGAGCACGTGCCCCAGTTTGCGTCCAGACGGATCGTGACTCAGGGTGCGTCGCACGGACGTCCTGGCCCTACAGCAGCTGGTGATTCTGTGGACAGAGACGAAGTGCCGGTGGTGCTCAGTTTGCCGCAACCTCAACCATCTCAACCGCATGTGCCCGTCGAAGACATTCCTTCTAACATCTCAAGCCAGACCGGTTTGAACACACCCGAAGACGTGCAAACTCCCGAACCAGATGAAGCTGTACAGAGCTCGAACTACGCTTCACATTTGGAACCTCCAGCATCTTCTAATAACGCTCACAATAACCGCACTAACTTGTCAAGTGACTCTGCGAACAAACCTTCACAGGTAACTCATACTGATGATGCATTAACTGATTTGAAAGAAGAAAACTCAAATCAAGGGACCGGTAGTGCGGCATCAAAGTCGATTGATTCGAGTAGGCAAGTTTCAAATTCGAAAATACTCGACGTCAATAAGTTAAACGTCAGCACAGTTAGATATTCACAGCCTTTAAGTGATATCGATGTAGACGATTACGTAGAAGCGTCCGATGAGGCAAATGCGACATCTTTAGACACTGGAGAGACGCCTGAGCTGCTGAAGTTGTCGGAGCATTCAGGGGGACAACCCGATAGCTCCGAACCAAAATCGTTTGATTCGAGTACACACACTTCAAATTCGCATATACTCGACGTCAATCGGTTCAACGTCAGCACAGTTAAATATTCGCAGCCTTTAAGTGATCTATATGTCGATGATTACATGGAAGCGTCCGGTCAGGAAAATGGGACATCTGTAGATTCTGGAGAGTCACCTGAGTTGCTGAGATTACCATCAAATCATTCAGGGGGACAAACCGATAGCTCAGAATCGAAGTTGTTTGATTTAGGTACACAAACTTCAAATTCGAAAATACAAAATGTCAGTCAGTCTAACGCACCCACGGTCACATATCTGCCACCTTTACATCATCTGGATATTGACGATTTCGTTGAGGTGTCCGACGATGCAAATGTAACATATCTCGACAGTGAGGAACCGAATGAGCTGCTGAGGCTGCCATTTGAGCGTTCAGGGGACATGGACACATTAGGCGACTCTGATAAGTCAAACGAAACAGCGGAAGTCGATGTCGGCGTCGCATCGACAGAGGCGGAAGCGAGTGATCCAAACGCGGATGATTCGACACATGAAGCAAAGATCAGTGCCCCTGGTCATGCTGATGGGAATGAAACGACGCCTTCGACAGATCCTACTTCCTGGGAACGTGCAAATCGAGCATCGGCCAAGTCACTTGGAAGTTCGACAAAAACAGTGCCGTTAATATTCGAGTCTTCCAGGCAGCTTAACCTCGGAAAAGCTACGAATTCCATTGTCAATGTACCATCTTTAACCGAACCTCAGTCTCGTTTAACGCAACCTTATGACACGAACAAAGTAGCGAGTTCAATGAGCCACGACTCTACCATCCTCAACAATTCTCCTGATCTGAAGTCCTCTCTGGCCCCTCGCAGAGTTCCGAGCTCTCCCTTGAGTCAACACCAAATTAAAACTCCAATTATCACGGACTTCGGGTTACTATCTAAGACCATGGATAGCTCCGACGACGCAGAAAGCCAAGTTCTTGCTTCGCTTATCACAGAAACCATGTCGGGGAAGAAGATTTTGTCGCGGAGCGACTTTTCGCGCCTTACGACCAAGCCAACCGTGATCCCTCCTGAGACGGCCATTGTTAGTCTCAACCCAGCTGTAAATCCGTCTAAGGTGTTAAACTGGATATCTTCCTCGGCGAATCCTTCTGAATTACTCCAGATGCCCGTACAAGATGCAGATCGCCTACCCGATGCTGTGGAGACAATGATTGTGTCGACACCAACAATAAGTGCCGACAACGGATTGAATGGAGGCTGTGCGACTAGCTGTTCCTGGAAACGTAGGTCTAAAAGCAGTGCAATACCTCATGATGCAGAAATCAGCGGAACGGTGGCTGGAGCAACAGACGTTGCGGAAACAAATCCTACGCCAGCCATTCAGGTACCCCAGGATCATGTATCAGAGATTCTTGACACCGCTTCCCGGACTCAAATCTCTGAACCCATACGCCCGGCCATTTTGTCATCCGTTGACGCATTTGAAAATGGAAACCTAACCGAGAGGAATTTCAACCATACGCTCGATCCATCGCTGACACTTGAGGGCCTGGAGCTATTTCAGTCGTCAATGCCTAGTGACCACAACGGTTCATCCAATCGTACGTACTCTTCAGGGTACAAAAATGGACACCATAACGGGACTAATTGGTCACAAACGTTGACGCCACTCAAGCCAGAAAACGAAAGCGGCATTCTGCTACCCATGAGCGTCGAGGATGACGACACTATTCAACCATCACAAAAGGACATTGTTCAAAGAATGATGACTGTCGCGATGCTTCGCAGCTCATTCTCGCAAATGACACACACTCCCATCGGTGAGGTCTTACTTGCTACGCCAGCTAGTGGTAGTTTGCTAACACGGGTTACAACCCCGATTTTGGAAACAAGTGTAAAGCTTACGAAGATGGTGTCGACTTTAACTGGAATAATTTCTTCAAGTTCGCCTACTGAAGTGGATATTCTTACTAAAGTAGAAGGTGAAGACGGTGCTAGTCTTCTTCCAAGTCAGACAGTAGATGAATACCTTCAGCCAAGTGTGAGTAATGTTCTCAAACGCAATACAAATCAAAGCGAGACGCCCGCTCTCGTGTCTACAAGCGTCATTCATAGATTCAGGGAAAACGATGTCTTCACAAACGTGACCGAAGTTAAAAACACGCTACATACAAAATCGTTTACGTTCCTCCAAACCAGCAGCGAGCTGCCTAATGTCACAGAAGGAATGAGCAGTCCTGTCCATATTCAACCATCAATCTCGCCTTCTCCCGGAAGTATACCTGACAGAGAAAATGACATTTTCAACGTCACAGGTGAAAGCTCAGAGGAGAAGACCAGAGCACTGAAGGAAGTCCAGGTGACTTCGATGAAAGTAACAATAAATTCGCCTGCCATCTCGGATGACTTGAATCTAAACGCTGAACCGTCACTCTACACGACCCCTGCGTTCCCTTCGCTACATACCTCTTCGCATTTTGAGACTTCGGAACTGCATACGTCCAGTCCAGGTAACGACTTGCAATCGGAGACATCCATCGCTTTTTCGTCAGTGCAGGCCTCCACGTCTGGAAGCGTCGGTACCGTCCCCGAACTTGGGAGGGACTCCATTAACAATGCAGTCATAATCGACGGTTCGTCAGCTACGCCGACATTAAGCGCTAAACACGATGGGAAGGGCAACTTTTCACAAGTCCATTCAATAATCAGCTCTTGGGCAAACCAAGGGTCGGGCTTTCCGTACGCGTTCAACAACATATCAGTCGCCACCCGCGTCGTTGAATACCCTCTGGTAAGGGTACGAACACGAATGGATCCTCCTCAGCAAACTGACGGGAGCCGCCGTCGCGCAAAGTGGGAGGCCAGTAAGAGACGGCAGCTTACCGGTGCCACAGCACCCGGCAGCTCGAACCGAAGGCGCAAGAGGCCCTTAAGTGGGAACTCGACTTCAGTCGTAGTTTCGCCCTCTTCGATGCCGGATGGAGCGGGCAACCCGCTCGTCTCCAAGCCCCAGCAAAACAGTAGTGACAGCGTCACTCACAGCTTCGACACGGTGCTATCCTCACCCAACGTATCCCTGTACTCGGATGTCTCCGACAACGAGCTGTCCGCAAAGACGTCCTCGTTCGACGATCCCGTCGAAGAGAGCACCGGGCGGGAATTCAGCCGTTCCATGGCCCTGTGGCCTTTCCTGGCGCCGCTCCTGTTGCTTATGCTTCTGCCGCCGGCCGTCTGGTGGCTGCTCAAGCCCGAGGCGCTGCCACCTCCGCCGTTTCCGCCTCCGCCGTTCCCGATGCCTCCGCCGCCGTCGCGGCGGCCTCCTTCCTCGTCGCACCGTCCACCTTCGCTTCAAAGCTGGTAATTAGAGAAACAGAAAAGCGACAAGTCAGCGGTCACAAGCTAGTCAACAGAGGTCGCTGGGAGCTTGAGCATCAAATGCGCCTGAAGAAGCATCCAACTGGTCCTTATCGTTTTCCGCAGTGTGCGGAAGCATGCTCTAGTGGTTGTGAATCAGAGGGCTCTCGGATTTCTCGGTGTTATAGAATGCTTCTTTGGCTCTGTTTTACCGAATGTGACAGTATTGAATCGGGCGGTGTTTCTGCCGGTCACATCCCCACTCTGCCTCCTTTTTTTCCCCCGCGATCCTTGCTTACGGCTGAAGCCCTTCTACTCACCGGCGCGCTCGTCGTTGTGCCAAACTGTGTTTCTTCAATTCCTACAAGTGGGATTTTGCTAACTCCCTCTAGATCTTCCGACGCACGACTAAAATTTTTTCGGGACAGTTTTTTTGGTGCATTTGTTCCTAACGACCTTTGGACTTTTCGAAGAGGTGGTGAAAGCGAACTCAGAATGGTGTCTAGGAGAGTGGAACGTTTCGGATAAGAATTCTTTAGGCGTTAAACTGGAGCTCTGAACGGCCGAACAACTATTTTAGGACATGACTGGAGCCTAGCAGACTGATATAACAGTTCAGCTAAGAACCTGAGAAATCATAAAGAGGAAGAGAGAGAGATAGAGTGAACATTCTTTATTGCGCGAAGTATGGCGCTCTTTTAATGCTCTTTTCCGAGAACGTCCTTGACATGCCGGGTTAGGGGAGGAAATATTTAACATGTTTATGTGAAGGCAAAACAAGGTTCGCCCAAAACAATGCTGAAGGTATTCCTCGCAGCATTTAAATAAATTGTGAATAGTAAAGCGCTGATACTTGATCGGAAATTTTATCTTCAGTGAACACTTGATGCGCAAGTCTCGGCCTAATTCATTACCCGAATCAACTCTTAATCGTTCATTTCTCTTTCCGCACGAGC